GAAACCATGATTTTCGTTACGCGTGTGCGTGTGCGTAGGTCGTATATTTAAATGCACGCACGCACGCGAAACTAGTATCGTTAATTGAACGTCGATTCAATGCTTCTTTGTTTGATAATGCCTGTTTCAATACGAACGAAATATACATTGCCCCCGGCGATTTTAATTATATGTATGGTTATTCGAGCGGGCGCGATAACGGCAACGAATGGAAATGAATTTGAATTTTCAAAGCCAATTGGGAATTTCCAGGACCGCGGTGTCCATAAACACGTTGCGCGAAAATGTTTCGGCCAGCACTGGCGGAAAACGCGAGACTCCTTGGCACCGGTCGTATATTCTACGTCTAATTACCACACGGACGCCGGCCAAATTGATTCGATTCGTCGTTTCGACGAATGAGGAGAACTACGAACGGACGAACGTGCGAAGAGGCAAATTCCGTAATGAATAATGGACGGACGACAACGACATCGACAGATCTGCAGTCTGACCGCAGAAGCAGACTTACGTGTTTTCAAGCAAAAGCAAACGCCAGCCACAGCGAGGAACACGGCCAGAAGCGAGATCACGCTGGGCGCCAGCACGTGAGCGTCAAAAAACAAAGAAGTCTCCTCGGTTTCCGGCGGTTGCTCGTCGTGCATTCGATTACTGCCGGTCGGCGACAGCGTGCTGAACAGGTATTCGGCCTGCGTCGAGCCAGCGTTGTTGTACGCGGTGACACGGAGCTCGTATTTGGTGCCGCTGTCCAGGTCCAATATAGAGAATCTCGATTGCGGCGACACGTTATTCGACACTGCAACAGAATTAGGGTCGTTGCCGCGTGAAACAGACCGTAACATGTTGCGTCCTATGGCCAGTTTCGGCATCTATTTCATGCACGAGGATTTTCGAGAGACTTCTCTCTTGGGAATATATATATATATTTTTTTTTCCCAGCCACACTTTATTAACTATATAAACTAGCTATATACTATATAAATTATAAAATATAATTATATTATATAATATAAACTAGCTATATACTAGTTTACTACTATATACTATAATATAATATAATATAATATAATTATATATATAAAACATATAATTATATATATAAAACAAAAAAGCTAGCTATAACT